GTTAAACTTCATTCAAAATTATAGCAAGAGCATTCTTTTAAAGTATTCTGATTTGGCTGGTTTCGTAGTAATTGACTGCAACAGCTAACCTATCATGCTCTTGCATAGCTATGCCTTTATCCATCATCCATCATTTTCTATTAGTAAAAGGAAATAAGAAGTCTATAAAGTTTGTAACAGGGGCAAAAAACAGGAACCTTCTCAATAATAAATTGCTTTATCAGAAATCATACCAAACACTTGAGCTTCTGCTATAACATCCTCTAAAAATTTATCAACTCCCAAAAAGACATTACTTGCATTGTTCTGGGACATTTTACAAATTACATTTTTATTCAATTTTTTAATGGCTTTGTGAAGTTTTGCTATGAGTTTCCTTTCCAATCCAATTCAATCCATTTTCTTCTCAAATAGGACAATCCAAGAGGCAATGTACAAATATGTCCAATACACAAAAAAGAACAAAAGTACTGAATAAATAAATATTCCCCAATGGCAGATTTTGTTGACCATGTACTTACATAAGTGTAGTTTGTTTACACACAACATTAGTTGCTGGAACTTAAACTACTGCTGCCTCACTGAAAACAATTTTAAGCTACAGAAGAAGAAAAAAGACAGCAGGAAGAAGGAAAAAAATCCTTTTATATGGAAAACTTTTAATTGTGTACCAAAATATTGTATTCCAGTGTTCATTTGGAATTAGAAACCATTTTCATGCTCATTTTCATTTCTTTTTCAGAGCTGTACCTACTCCGACATAACTGCTAGATGTACCTATTTTAATTAGGAAGTTCTATTTAAGGTAGAATGGGCTGAAAGAATTAAGTTTTAATAAGAGGAACAAGGAGAAAAAGGGTATTGGGAAAAGTTCTATCAACTCTTGATTTTTTCCTAATTTTGAGGGGATGTTTGGTGAGTTTCTCCCAGTGTCTGCAGCAATGTGACTACATAGTACTTCGAGGTTTCATTGAAAGTTCTGATGGAAAACATGTTACAAAGGAATGGACTAAATATTTCTCTTTTTTTAACTTGAAGTGAATCTGACGATTGTTTTCATAACACAAGGCTGCAAACCAGAGGCACACCCATGGAACATTCCAGATAGCAGGTTTACCAGGAATAGTTTGCTAAGAAACAGAGCAGTTTTACAGAGGAAAAGAAAAGGTGCAGAAACTGTAATATTTGAAAAGTACATATGGCAATGTATGAAATTCAGAGATCATCTAACATTTATTTGTTTATTGCTCATTAAATAGGGCACTACGGTGTTGTAAATGGGAAAATGTGTTAAAGTATACTTTAGGAATTGTCTAGGGTAAAAAAAAATAAATTCAAGTATTAGTGACTGGACAATAAAAAAGAAAAAAAAAAGCCTATATAAAATAGAAAAAAATCTTCCTTAAAAACATATGATCTTTTAGTCTTAAACTCTAATTAAATGAAGGCAAACCAACCACAAGGACTGGAAAATACAACAGAAGCTGTGTGTTAGAGAACAAGTCATCAGTGGCAGGGATAAAGTAGATTTAAGTGATTTCTTAGGTGCTTTCCAGCTATAAATGATGTTTTGTTCTTATGGCTCTAATCCTTGCCAGTTTAACTCATCGAATAAAGTGAGTGGCGCTAAGTCATTACTAGCCCCACACAGGATGAAAAGTTGCTATAATCCCCCCGTGAGTCACTCTGAGAGTTAAGTACATGTTGAAGGTTGCTGATACTTGATTTGGTAAGTATTTTCCAAGTGTTTTTTTCCAACAATGCAACATACTTCATCTCATTTAACACAGCCACAATGTGTTCCCAGGAAAAAAAGAACAAAACAAACAAACAAACAAACTTCCGAAACCTTGTATTTCAGAAATGTTTACTTTTCATCTCTTATGTTGCTTATTGTTTTGAGTATGAGAAAACCTTATTGCACAGCATGCCCGCAAAGAAACCACTCTGCTGTGCCATTCCTCTGTGTAGGAAAGGATTGGTCAGTCATTACCACACACCCTCATTTATAAGATTAACTTTTAAGGCTTTGAAAAATACAGAATTTGGAACTGTAATCTGGTATGTAGATTTTCTGTCAAATGCAGTGGGCCAAATTCTGGTTTATTTATCAGTATGAATTCCCTAACTTTAGTAGATACTCTTGATTGGTACTTGATTGGTATATGAGCTTGGAAACTTCCCACTGACAAGGGAAAAAAAAAAAAAAAAAAAGAGCCCTTTCCAAGAGTATAATGCTAATAGAAATAGACAGATATTAAAGTTTCTTCTATTAGGAATAACAAATATAAAATGGTATAAAAACAAGTATAAAAAGTGTAAGAGATGGCAAATGGAACAAGTAAAGGATCTCCTATTACACAGATACCAAGACAGATGACTGTAAGAAATACAAATGCTAGTTTTTCCTTTGGAAAACTAATGTTTAGCTAACGTTGCTTCAGCAGCCAGGAGATTGGAAAGTAGTTACCTTTATCCATCCAGCCGGCATCCTTAAGTTAGACACTGACATGAGGATAATGAATTGGTGGGGTGGGTTACCAACTCTCTTTTTATACAACCTTCTTGCCATCAAATTTTAGAGTACCAAATGTGTACAGGTGATAGATAGATTTGGATATAGCCACAAAAGAAAATGGTTAAAAACACTTGGGTAGATAATACTGTAAATGAGTGAGGAACAGTGAGTTTTCTTTATATTGAATGACTCACATGAATTTCCTGAGCAGAAACCACCAAAACATAAAAATAAAAAAATGCCATGGTAACAGCTAGAGCTACTATAAAACATAAACACTCACATATGGTAGAGATATAAACGAACTACATCTTGACCTGATTTTCCAAACGGGCAGCTGGATATGTATTTCCCTATACCACTACACAGAAAAGTCTCTTTAGAAAGAGCAAATGCAGTAGAGAATTAGATACCATTTGTAAATTTAATGTTTTAAAATGTGGGTATTCTCAAATTCTCTTTCATAGATATCTGCTGAAACACTAATAGATGCATTTTGTCCTGATAACAAACCCTTTAAGATCATGCATTGCAGGATTAAGAGTACATCCAACTCCCATGCTACAAGGTTCTTAATGCTGTTAGCAAAACAAGAGCGACGAGCAGAAAGTTGCCAAGTCCCAAGTAAGGCAAAGGCTGCTCTTGCTCTCTCTTTGATTGGGAACTGAGACTCTTCAACCTCTTCTCAGTTGCTCCATTATTTGAGAGTCAACTGTAGTAGTCAACTCTGTCCCCCATAGAGCTCACACCACTGGTGGGCTCAGCCCTCTCACCTAACCTAAAGGGGCAGAGAGCAGCCTTCCCTCCCAGCCTAGTCTGCTCACCTTCCAACTCATGTGAGAGAGGATAAATCAGTTTTGTGGAATTTCTGGCCTGCCAGTTATGATGCAGGTGGTTCACACAGATGTAACTAAGTGTTTCTTTGCCAGCCCTGATCCATCACATTAGTCAAATTAGTCCAATTAATATCTGGCTGAAAAAGAAGATAGACTAAATACTTCAAGTGGTATTTCTATCAGTTTCTGTACAAAACCTAGCAGATTCAGGTTATAGTTCTACAGTCAGTAAATACAGCTCTTTTTAGGTTATACAAGAAACTCCTGTCTCTAGCAACCTCAGCAGTCTTGACTTCAGCAATAAGGGTTTTTTCCCCACTTCCACAATGATTTAATGAAGCACTAAGTGAACAAGGTTTCTAGTTCACTGAATGGCTTTCTTTCAATAAAGTGGAGACCAGTTTCTGCAAGAGCATGAGAAGTGCTGAAGGCACTGAGGGTACATCATCAAAGAGTTTATTGATGGACATAGAGAAGAGGGCAGGCTGATTCTCAAAGGAAGAATACTAAGTCAGTACCATTCCAGTTGACGTTGTTATTTTTACAGAACAACCAAACTCTCAGCAAAATCTCTTTGGTCTTTGAAGAAAATTTACAATGATTGAAAAGCCTGCTGGATGTGGAAATATTTTCACTACATATTTTGCGTGTATATCCAATACATAGTTGCAGGGGATAATAAAACTACTTGCTAGGTATGCTGGGGTAGTTCAGCATCTTAAAACACTAACTAACACTAGTTTCTCCCCTCTACTCAAAGCAGCTGTTCTACAATGTATAGAATAAATGCTTCATCAAGGTGTAATACTAAAAATTATCTCCTATCAAAATGTAGTATGAAAAATAAACACCTTTCTTCAAGAATTGACAGAACATCGTGATACATGATTATACTTTCCCCCATGTAATGCTAATTTGCTTTTCAAAACTTTTACAGAAAACAAGCAAACAAACAAAATCTTCACCTTGATTTTCTAGCCTCTTCAAGTATTATTCCTAGAATATTCTGTTCTCAGGACAAAGCTTCCAAAAGAAGCTCCAGTAGGATATAGGGCACAATGGACATGTGCAACATACCTTCTCTAAAGCAGCCAAGGGCAGAGCTCAGGCATGGTGTCTGATCAGGTCCAGTGACCGGTCCTTACCACCTTCAACTCTCCAGCTATTTTGACAACTCTGCCCATGAACGTGCTGACTCCACGGAGCCCCAGTCTTGCTGCATTATGTGCACTTTACATTTGCCCATGCAAACTAGGACCTATAGACTCTTAAAAGTATTTTTAAATGAACACGTTTAACACAAAGAGGAAACAAATACAATACACTAGGTAAGATAAATCCCAAGTAACTGATGTCAGCTTAAGGGAAAATAAGTTATACAATGAACTCCAATGTATAGTAAAAGCAGACTTTGTATAAAGATTTGCCCTTTAGCAGGTTCTTTGAGATGACAGTAGAAGCAAAAGCCTGCAACCAATAAAACTAAATCCATATGAACACTGTATAAAGGTATGGAAAACAGTCATCAACAAAATTAATTCCAGTTAATTCTAAAACCATATCTATTGTTAACTTAAAGTAATCATTAGATAACATGGAAAGTAAAGTGAAATGCAAGCCTACAGAAAGAGATATTTTGCATTTACCTTTGGTATTCCAGAAGTGTCAAGCCAATTCTGGAAGATACTTTTAATGGTTAGCCCAGACCTTTAAAAAAATTAATAAGAGTTTTAGAGGATATACTAACATTTTTTTTCGCATTAAAATTAACCTTGTAGAAGCCAAGTACAATCTTGATTTCAGGTATTAGTTTGTAATGCCGTGCTACTATATTCTTCATTTTTTAAAAAACAGTATCACCAGAGATGACGCAAGCAAATTAAACACAGATTAGATTTTGTGTTTAAAACTTAAAAAATAAATACAGTGTTTATGAGAGTTGATAGAATTCAGAAGGCTAAACTGCATTTAAAGTATGACATGACACACATGTAAGAAGACAACATGTAAAGAAACACATGTAAAGTATGAGCAGGTGCACAACATCTTCTTGAGTGGAATTTTATTTCCCTTAAGGAAAAGAAAATCTCAGAGGGAGAAAATTTAGTTGGAGACATTCAAACCCAGTATTAAGGAACCAGTGCAAATGTAAAGACAAAATCCCTAAGAAAGTGAAAAGAAACATGAACTTCCTTAGATTTATGGATTTTAAAAGCCACTGCTGGATTTTCATCTTCAAAGTTATCAAATATCTAATAATATTTCAACTTTTTTTGCACTTTGGTTCCTTGCAGTAACATTTATAGTGAACTCCAAGAACAGTCTGGAGCCCCAACTGCTATGAAAGGAAATGGCATGTCAGGATCAAGCTGAATAGGACTAAAATAAGCATATGCATAGGTATTTGCAAATCATGAAATTGTATTTCTCTTTTTTTTTTAGTATAATAAACTTTTCTTTCTTTTTTTTTTTTTTTTGCTTCATCTTTGACTGAGGTTGAATAGACTTCTCAACTTCCTTTGGAATCAATTTCCAAGGAAAAAAAAAGTTGTTCTTTTCATTTATCACACTGTCAGTACTGAAAAATATACCTTGAGTAAGCCTCAAATGAATGTAATCTATTCTGCTTTTCAGAATATTTATGTCATGTGTGTGGCAATTTGTTGGTGAGTGAGACTCCTCCTAGTACCTGCAGCTAACTTCACATGTCTAGTGTTGACACATGAGCAAAAAAGCATTTGCGAAAAGAATAGTCATTTTGAAATTCCAGGGTAGGAGGAAAGCAACTCAACACATTTTTTTTTTCTTTTTGAATGACATGACGCAGACTTTTTTTAATAACCCTGACAAAGCTGTGCTCAAAATTCTTAGTCTAAAGGAGATTTATTTATGGACTTGTGTCAGTGACTAAGATGATTTGTAATGAATCCATCAGTCATTTTTCCTGGATGATTTTAAAACATCTCTAAATACTAATTTTCACTGTGGCCATGGGAGATAGATCAATCATTGTTATACCTGACATGCAAATGGAAAAACTAAGTATCCAAGACTCAAAAGCAGTCAAGTTTAGTGTTAGTGGATGACCCCCAAACATAGTCATAGAGTCAATTTTTCTGTATATTTACTGATCATATGTATTCATTTTTAAAATATGTCTAGTTTCTTTTAGAATGGCCAAGTATTTAAATTATTAAATTACATATTTAACATAGAAACCAAATATAATATACCTTTGTGTTATGAGATTTACTATCCCTACCTGCATGTAGCAGTATTCTTAAAGAAAGAAGTCTCATTAAAATTAGTTGGTCTTTCCAACAGAATAAAATTGTGTAATTGTGAATTAGAAGAGGGAGAATGTGATCAAAATAGAAAGTCAGTTGGCTACTCATTGAGTAACTGTTCAATAGTATCTGCAAAAAGTGTGCAGTCTCATTTTAATAAGGTTGTCCAAAATACATAGGAATTTTGGCACAATGCCAGAAATCAGTCATCCAGTGCTTTAGCCATAAGAAAGTCTTTCCTTGGAAATGCTACCCTGCGTTATTCAGATACTAAGATAGGCTTGTATACACAAGATACAGCGTCATACTGAAAATCGGAAGAAGCTACAGATTTTAAAAAAAGAGAGAATATTCAGATACAGTGAAAAAAAATATATAAATGCTTTAATTCTCTATTTGTTTCATAATTTTATTCAGTTCTTGATAATTCATGCAACTTATGCCCAAACTTTTCTTTGGCAGTGTCTTCACAAGTAACAGATGACACATCAGCCAGGCTGAGGTGGTTTAAAGAGTCCCAGAAGAGAGAACAGTTCCCACAGAGACAAAAGAATCTTCCCATTCACTACATCTGTAACATCAAGGTACTTTTTTAACACTAGGAAACACTAGACTGTCACAGGACAAAAAAATCCTTCAAATCATGTGGTTCAAACAATCTCAACAGCAAGCAGAAACATTTCTACATAGCCAGGATTTTCAGGAAACTGCATTTTTCTGCATGTCTGATCACTATGGAAATTCATTTTCTACAAATAACAAAAAATCAACATCCCTTTAACAGAGTACTGTGCTACACTCGAGTGAATTATTTACATCCAGAATGGGTTAGCATTTAATAGCTATTATTTTTGCAAGTTCATTAGAGTACTTAAGTAGTGAATTCTTCACTACAGTTACTTCTACCTTACTACAGTCTTCTACCAATGGGTGTCTAGTATAAATTAGTCAGCTTAGAGATAACGGAGAGAAAAAAAAAAACATCTCCAAAAAACAGTGAATTCACTTACACTGGGATAACAAGACACTGTTTTCTTGAAGCTTTTTCTCTGTCCAGTTACTACAGAGGGCATATACAGGAGTAACTTAAACTGAACTCCAATTTTATATAGCCAAAGGTAGATTGGATACCTCCTGATTTGCTTATCTGTCTCAAGCAACAACATCACAATAATCATTTTTATCTGTTACTGCATGAATCAAAACTGAACCAGAGCTAGCAACACTGGAAAATTCATGTATTTACCTTTTTAGCTAGAGGTAAGAAACACAGCCTCACAATGACAGTTTTTCCCATTTTTTTCAGAATCTATGCTAAACTTAAAGGGCAAGATTTTCTTTGAAAAAAACTATGCAAAATAATAAAACTACACTTGCTAGGTAGTATCTTTGGTTAATCTATCTTCTGTGGCTTTTAGAGCCAACACTAGCTTAAGGCTCAAATACTGCCTTTGAAATGAGCTTAAAATAGTGAAGGAAATTGCACTGCTCTAACAGCCCACTAATCCAGGCAGAAATACTACCTCAAGTTGCTCGGCCCCTCCTGAAGCTTCATCACTTTTCTCAAGAATGAAGACCACAAGGTTGACATCTCTGCCTGCAGTGCCCTCAGCCTAAGTCAGACTTTTGTCATAATTTAGGGCATTTGTTTGCACTTATCAAAAAAGCAATTCTTCATACCCCACACTCCTACCATTCAGTGTTTTCCCTTTGAAATATATTAGTAATACACAGACTGCTGCAAAATTCCAATTTGAACATGACTGAGAGTCTACATTGAAGAACTGTAAACTCCTTTAAGGTTTACACTGGGATTTGGATCAAGCCCAAAAAATAGATCAAACACATGATGTCGCAATACAAATGTCCTAAAAAAAGGACACAGACTGATATTTATAGAGGCTGCAGTTCAGTGAAGCATCCCTATTCAGAAAGGGCACTTACCACCTGCTTATGTTGCATTTAAGTACCAGTAAGGACTTAAATCTGGTCTGTGTTTGATTTTCTGACTGGCTTTTTGGTTAAGGAACTGTACGGGACCACAGTAATCTGGGTTCAATTGATCAGTACTATAACTGAGTTCTTGCAAGACTGGGCAACTTCTTTTTTTTTTTTTTTTTTTTTTAATTGCTTCCTTCTGCAGTTCCCTGCTATAAAATGAGACTGCTAGTGCATCCATTACCTCCCTTCACCTCTGACTGCTCAGAGTACAAGCTGGTCAGCCCAGGAATCATCTCCTAATGTGCATACATGCATGGCCATGTTCAAGGCCTCTGAAAGCAAGTTCTGTACCACACTAATACTAATGAAAAGTTAGTATTATAACAGATCTCTGTATGGCAGGCTTCCATTGGACTTGGACATCCTAGAAACTTTATGAACATCTACCAAATCCAACTGAAAATATTTCATTGACCATATTTTCTTCATCAGGTATATTAATTGACACTGACCATTTTTAAAGTGTGCCATCGCAGCTAAATAGCAAGGTGCAGTTAAAATCAAATCTAACACTCATAGAATCACAGCATGCTTAGGGTTTGAAGAGACCTCTGGAGATCACCTAGTCCAACCCCCCTGCTCCAGCAGGGACACCTAGAGCACGTGGCACAGGGTGGCATCCAGGCAGGTTTGGAAGATCTCCAGAGAAGGAGACTCCACAGCCTCTCTGGGCAGCCTGTTCTAGGGCTCTGTCACCCTCACAGGAAAGAAGTTCTTCCTCATATGGAGATGGACTCATGTGAGAACAGTCATTCTGTCAGCTGCCAATAGCTTTCTGCTCCTGCCTTTTTTTTTTTTTTAACCCAGTATAGATGTCTATCTTTTTAAAATTTTATTCAGCATATATGCTTTGGTTTACATGAGAGAGAAAAAAAAAAAAGGATTGAAAACACTGTAAAAAATCTTTCATGTTGATTTACTTTGAAAGCTAAATGCCTACCAGCTATTTGTCTCTATGAAAATCATTACCTCTATTACAAGTAGGCTTTCATGCAAGTAAATAAGAAAGGAAGCATGAAAGGAGGCGGCATATATTTCTGTAGCTGAGTAGTTTGAAATTACAGCATTATTTTAATGTTATTTAGTACTTAACTGGCAATTTTTAAAGAAATACAAGGAATGTGGTTAGTAAACTTGAGTTATTTATGGTACAAATACCCAAGCCATAACACAAGCCTTATTTTGTCTGCTGTATCATACTAAAATCATAGCTTTAATAGTGCTCTTATTTATTTTATTGCAAATCAAATAAAAAGTATCAACAGAAAAACCTAAAGAGCAGAAGTGAACTGCTCAGAAAGATTTGCAGTCATAAAGAACATACATAAGCAGCTGCAACTCTGATTTATCTGAGGATAGTGAAACTCGTGCTCTGTTACAGAGCCTTAAAAACACTGAGTCTTTGCATGGCTCACATGTTGGGCAGATGTGGACAGGATCAATTTACAGCAAGCACTGTAAGCCTCACAGTGAACAGAATCACTGTGAGCTTTGATCAAATTTAGTGCACCATGATATGCAGACAGAAAAGAAGGATTTTTGTTGTTCTTTGGTTTAGCTTTTAGATAAACTGTAATCAATTCTCAAATTATGTATCAGATAATAAGATGCCTCAGTTGCAGATGGGAAATAGTGTAGATAATGCAAAGCATTATCCAGTGCATTTTATAGTAGGAAGACTTTAAAAACAGCAGAGCACTGCAAACTAGGTAGATATTTGTTTCTTTCTTGACATTAGTCTTTCATAAATAGAGGAAACCTGTCTTAAAGGCAAGTTAGGAGATTTTAATGGACAAAAAGAAAAGATGGCCTGTCCCATACTGTTGTTCAGCCACATCCAGAAACAGAAGGATCCTGTCTTGGAGACTGGATTTCTCTAGCTAAATTGCCATTGATGTTGAGTCAGAAGAACTGCAGTAGCCCCAAGGACTAGGTATATAATCCTCCTCCTCTGGATACAAAAGCCAGTAAAAAATTGCTGTCTACTACATAAGAGGTTATGGCTGTATCTTTGAACTGCTCATCGCTGGGAACGTCTTAAAAAAATCTCCAGTAACTAAAACTAAAGACCTTAAGCCCTAGAAGAATGAAAATCTTTTAGATACAGCCTGCTGTATCCAATAGCGGAAAATTCATGTTGCATTACTCAAAGCTAATGATTAGAAAAGATTTCCACACTGTTGCATGATTTCTTTCTACCAATATTAATACTGTTCTGACTGCAAAAGCCTCCAGTAAGACAAATTAGCTATGGTTACTTTCCTCTGTTGCCACAGATGAGAGTAGAATTTGACTTGATTACTTGATTACATACTTCTTTTTTATTGTAATTATTCAGGTCAGGATCTATTACAAACAATAGAATACTGAAATGCTTAATATCTTTCAAGCTTGTCCTAATTTTGGCATTTGTATGTTTTTATATAATAATAATAAAGTACACTGAAGAGTATATCTTTGTGGCACGTAAGAAATAAAGGTCTCCTTTATGTCCAGATGTTCCATTACTGCTGACATTCCTGTTGATATCCTCACCCAAAGTAATATTGGCAGTAGAAAAGTTCGGATATGCTACATGTCTGGTTGTAATATATATTACCATGTATGTGAAATTTTGTCCATATATTCAAAGGTGACGCAAGTGAAATGGAGCCATAGTTTCTTTGCAGTGGTCTCACTAAGCCTTTAAATATTTTGGCATATACGTAAGTTGAAAATCAGATGCCTTATTCAAATAAGGCTTAGTACTAAGTTTAGGCTTTGAAGAAACAAATGAAAAATGGCAGAAGAATTGCGATTTTATTAATAAGTCTACATATGCCAATAAATAACTCGCTTCCCCACATATCCCATTTCTTTTTCATTATTATTTTTGGGCTGGGAACCCAAAGCACAAGGTAAAGAAAATAGTGGCCCAAATATATTACTGAAGAAAAGTAACAGCACTCAAACTAACTTCATATTGCTACAAAAAAGGTTGTCTCAATGACAACAGTCACAAGTTTTATGTCCATTATTCTAAACAAAATCTGTACTTTGAAGATGCAGAATAATAGCATATTTAAAGTACCTCTTCTGTCTTGTTCCTTTCTTAGAAGATATTGCTATTGTTTTGTTCTCTACATCTGGATTATTAAACCATGGCTACAAACAGTTTCTATCACTGTGCAGTGTAAGAAAGAAGAGTGAAACAATTATCCAGACTCAAAAAAGTCCACAACTACTATTTTTTTACAGTGTGCTATGCTCATTTTTACCCTATGCTCATTTTTTGGTGGGAGACACGAATTCAGTTACTCCAAAATATGCAGAAAACTATTAAAGTGTCAAGATGGCACTGTCTATATGCTCATAATATTATTGTGTCTGCGCACGTGCGTGCATGTGAAGCACATTTAGCAAGAGAATATGTCCTTTATTCACTCAACTAATGCTCACAGTCACAGGTTGTGCAACTGTGATGAGGAAAGAAAGGACATTACCTCTTACATCTTCACAGAGGAACAGCTGCATGTAGGGATTTTCTTATTTATCATTTGAAAGGAGTATTTGGAAATAATCTTTTTTTTTCACAAAAAAAGTCGTTCACTCAAGAAAAAAAAAAGTTTTCATAGTTTTTTTACGATCTTTTCTCTCCCTATGATATTTTAATACTTCATATAGAAACACAATTTTGACAGGAAAATACAAACTGAAATATTTTTAAATTAACAGTAAAAGTATTTCACTAAAAAAGGCAATAGATTTGACTTTTATGAATTTCCTCTTCCCTTTTCCTCAGCAAAAGCTATTCACCAAACTTGTGAGGAGTTATGGAATTCTGCTCTCCAAAAAGACTCTTTCCAGTGAACGAACTATTTGCAGGAATTATTATCTGCCAAGCTCTACCACCAAGAGAATCTGTATTTGTAGTTGGTAGCAGCCCAGAGCAAGTGAACAAATAAATAGGGGGGAATCCAAAGCTGTGTTCCAAAGCGGCGGCATCACATTTAGCCGGTCACACACAGGAGGGTTTCGAAGAGCATGTGAGGTCCTTAACACCCCATTTCCATGAGGGATTTACACCTCTCCCCCACCTGGCACGCTGGAGAGCCCCAGGAAGAGGCTGCTGCTTGAGGGAAAGCATCTCCCGTGCTGTCCGAGCTGCAGGGCAGCGCGCGGCCCTGCGCCTCCGCGGTGCCTGAGCCAGCGGCAGCATCACGGATGAGGCACAACAGCGGGATCTGGCACCCTGGGACCCCACCACTGCCCCCTTCCCCGGCGAGGTAAAGGCGCTGCTGGCGGGCAGCGAGGGACAGCAGCGTCACAGCAGGGCTCGCGTGTGTGTTTCACACGTAGGAGGACTCAGAGGAGTGAGGCATGCACAGATACACGTCTACACATGCCTTTAAAAACAATGCTAAATGAGAACCTCAGCTCCTATTTCTGACTAGCAGAACTATTATCTAGACCTGATTTCTACTTTCTTCTTTAACATTTCTAGCCTTCTCACTTACCCTTTTTGTTCAGGGAAGTCCTCCAACAGCATGTAAAGAAAATCCTGGAAAATGAAAAAAGCACTGCAGTTAGTATGATTATTGAGCAATATTCTCTGTGTCTACAGAACCAGTACTGGAAATTTAAGCACTGCAGATTGCAGAATGGTTAAGAAGAAGTTTATTTATCTACTGTGTTGTTATGCTACTCAATTATTTATACAACATACATTATGTTTGCCCATTTTTCAACCCATTCAAGCAAAAAGTGTCAATATTGAAAGAAAATAGGCTTGAAAAGCCTGCTATGTTAACACAATCCTAGGTTCCTATTTTTATTACATCTATAACACACACAAGCTACATTAAAAGAGCATTAAAAGGCTGCAGATCCACATACTCAGAAGCTACGAAACATCAGAATTATGGCTGTCCTTTATGTTCTCTCTAATATGCTTTTGTTATCACTTTTTTTTAACTGCATGACCACAACCTTTTTCCCTTTTCATGCATATCTGATCCTGCTCCTCATTACCTGATAAAATTCAACCTGTTACTGCAAGCCACTCCAGAGATGAAATAAGACTTTTCAAGGAAAAATTAGATAGATTTTTTTACTTGGATTTAGAAGGAAAGTGCTAGGCCAGGAGAACATTATTATCATCATCCTCACTCGCAACAGTATGATATTTCCTCTTTTTAAGTTACACCTGACATCACCCAAAGGCACCCCATGCTGAACCCAATCTAATTCTAATGTCAATCACTTTGACACAATGCACTGCCTGCCTGGTTCCACTCAACCACTGCATAGAAAGAGGAATTATTAATATGAACTCTTCATTTATACGCTATTCTACAAAGCAATATATTCAACTTTACTAACATTAATCCTGAGACAAGTTTCATAGCCTAATGTACGTAGCAGTATGAGCACAGGCTGATTTCTGATTGTAAGCTGTTGCAGTAAGAGCTGACTCCTCAAACTGAAACTACTGGTAACACTAAGTCTTTCTCATTTACATTATAACGCAGGTATATGCTAGGTTGCATTGGCTGCAATATCTGCTTATAAAGAAAGATGAACTACACTGTGCTGCTCTGGCAAGACTTCTATCATTAACTCTGCTAGCTATGTCAGGTCAGCTCTGCCCAACTAGAGAGTATTTCTGACATGATGATGCGCTGAAAAATCCCCTTAGTTCACACTATTACATTCAGGTCTGTACTGCTATTCTGTATGTCACAGATAGCTATTTACTCTTTCCATTTGTGGAAGCTACTCTGTAGGCATAGACTAAAATTCCATGGAAATAAAGAATATGAAAAAAATGGAGAAGAGATCCATTATTTCAGGAATAAAGTATCCGAAATGCAACACTGAAGGGTTTATTCTTGACACTATTTCACTACAGAACCTTGTATACATCAGTCCACCTAGAATCACTGATCAGATTGCATCAAAGATTTAAAATCTATTCTACGGTTCACTTAAACATATCTCTGATATCAGAAGTGTTTTTACATGCTGTATATTGTAGTATGAAATTAAACATCTGCCTCATGAATAAGGCTGTCTATTTTTCCAAATAAGTATTAAGAATAAAACACTAACAATCATTCTACACACATTTTAAAAGTTAGAATTAATCCTTTTTTTAACTGCTTCTCTTTCAATATTCCAAAACAAAATACAATAATTAATTAATACTTACTTCATATTGGCAAGTCTTTTAAAATTTGCCTATTATCAAGTCTGTCTGACACATCCCATTATGGCACTGAGGTTTCAGTTGTGTTTAACTTTGTCAAACTTTAACCATCTGGACTGAAATTTGAGCCTCAGGCAATTTTTTCTTCCTTCTCAGATAAAATAGTTCAGAAGTGCCCAAGAGCAAAGTTAGAGAATAATGTGCTGTTCATAAATTCTAATGCCATTTTCTTTAAGAGGTTTCAGTCACTTTACATTGAAACAAGGTTTGTGGTATGGCCAGGGCAAATAAACGCTTGATCAGATCATAAAACAAAATACATATTTTTCTGTCTCTGCTACAATTAGCTCAGTGAAGACAGAAAGAGAATATAAGTTAGGAATCACATGCCACCACTGTGCTGCATTATTAATGAATCAATGATATTTATATTGTTACATAAACTTACCTTCCCTACTTACTTCTGTGTTTTTTTTTTTTTCTGGGCTAAAAACCCAGAGGCTGGAAAACAATATTTTCTGACATTCTGACATAACAGAAACTATTATTCTGAAGTTTGTGGAGTTTTATTCACATTTGGCCAAATTGAAAAAAAGACTTTGAAAAAGGAGTTCGCACATGTTCACAAAGGATTTGCAAGACTGTCATAACTAAATTCCCTGAAGACTCTTTACTCTCACCATGCTCCAGACTGAAGTCAACAATTTTCCACACAACTGCAACTGCGGGCTGCTGCTGACCAGATCAAATCTGGAAACAGACTGTAAATTGAGATCAAGGAGAAAGTTTCATTGCACTGTTAATGAATGTGGCATGTCCAAGTCAAAGAAGAGCTTATGACCGAGGAGTGGATAGAGAGAAACAACCTTGAGGAACTGGGAAAGGAGGCTGCTTGAAGCAGGAAGGGGGCAAGTCTGGTTGAGAAGATCTTTTATTCATCGTTGCAGACACTGTATGATAATGCCAGTGTTTGTATTATAATAACCCCCTAGTATGTTCCTGTTTTTAAACTGTTGTGGGGAATCAGACAGACACCTCTCTCTGTTCACACCTGTGATATTAAATAGGAAACACAGAACATTAAAGGGAAGATAACAGCCTCTTGTTTGTGGGAAAACTGGTATCGAGATGATTTCAAGTACTCTACAGCCAGTACAAAATTTCATTTAGATTCTCTAATTTCAATACGAATGGAGGGTACACAGAAGAAATGGAAGTTTCATGACTTGAAGCTAGACTATCTAAAAGGACATTCAGTTGTCAACAACTAAACTCCAAATGTATCCACATACAATTTGTTATGGAAATTACTGACTCAAAGTTAAACTATCCCAACAATTACTGAATTTGGAAATGACTTAACTGAATGGTAAACATTACTTCTTTGTTTTAGGGGGAAAAGTATGTATAATGCAAATAAGTATCCTTCCTAGGATCATGATTATTTTAAATTCCCTCCCTATTCATCTCTCTTTTATTTAACAAAATTAGCAACATGTTGAAACCTTCAGTATGAGGTTTTGATAAAAAGTGCACAATTCTCCTCCAAAGACTACAATTTCCTTCAGAATAGAGTAGATTTGCACAAAGCAACTTTCATCATATTCTAAGCTAATACACAAGAATGAAACTGTCCAGCCAAAACCATTATATTTGTCTTCTTTGCCAGAGGGCTAATAACTACGGGGAGCAAGTCCTAACTTACCCCATCTATACTTGTAAGAGGGCTTCTGTTAGAGCCGTAGGTCTTTTATGCATAACATCTGCTATTTCCTGCATATCAGAACACCTCAGAGCAGGTAAGTTGGAGGAAGTATGTTGATTATCACTTAATTTACTGAAAAAGTGTTTTCATTTCTTCTTGCTTTATTGATAGGAAAGTTCAAACAAGGTTCTGGGCAGGGAAACAAAAGCATCTGCGTCTTCTCTGAACACTTTGACCCTGGAATCTATGTTGCCTGAAACTCAACTGAATCTCCTTAATTTCTTCAGAAAATACAAAGATTCTATTTTATGTGTATAAACATATAATACACTTACACACACTAGAAAAGATGAGGAACTACATTTTAAGTCCATTTTATACCAATGGCTCTAGACAGGACCCTCCGTTATTCATTAGACTTCAATATATGACAATCCAGCAGAAAATGATAAGGAAAATGCCTTTAACTGTGATTATTTAAAATATACTCCACAAAATCAAACAAAAGTTGGAGCTGTGATTCAGCAGGCAAAGTGAAGCCCACTCGCTCGTGTGTTTGTTCTGGTCAGAATTTAACTAAAGAATTAATCTTTTTTCCTATCAGACTAAATTGCACAAAAGCTATCATGTAATTTTAAGCCTGAAGGATGCTAAATGGAAGCTAAGCAAACAGGAAAAGTGTAATTCAGCAGAGAAGTAAATAAAGTAACAAAAAACAAAATGCAAAATATCTTCCACAGTTGAAAGCTGAAAATTCGAAACTTAGTAATCTCACAAACCGTGGGAAGGATTTATTAGAAAGGTCCGAGGTACATTTTCAGACATATGGGACACTTTCCTGATAGCAGTACAATTACTGCTTCTCTTTACTTCTTCATTCTACTCCTAGTGCTTCTCTTCTCTTCATATCTTTATAAAAAATATCTTTGTGTTTGGGACAGATACCAAAAGCTACTTGGATTTTTACATACCTATATGGTTAGTTATTAAAACCTGTGACACAATTAACTGACTTCTTATTTATATTTTTAACCAGTTTTCTATATTAGATATTATTATAAGACATCTAGGGTTCTCCTGACTTCATTCCTCTCTGTTCACTTCTTGAAGCCTATTTCTAGATCTACTGCATTGTGTTCTCCCTCTGTCCTTTAAAATGCAATGTCTACCTTATTTTGAGAAAAGTACATCAGAAAAAAGAAATAGGAATTTTTCTCACAATGAAAACAATATTGCCTCATAATATATCAATCACGTTTTTTAATCCAAGCTTAGTTATACTTCAAATGCAATTCATCATTCCATTTTTCAAGATACTTGTATTTGAAATAGGGATAAGATATACACTAATGCAGTGGTTTGTGCAAAATATGCAACACAGTTATCTGGTCTATATATTAAACAGTTGCCAGATACGTAAATATTTTAGATACAGTTAATCTCAAGTTAAAATATTTGATCAAGAGGGGCTTTTTAAAAAAATTTCCGTATAGTTGTTAAAACTTACAAAGATATACAGAAATGCTGTACAGTAAATAAAACACAGTGCCAAGCACTGGACAAAGAACAGAGAAAAAAATATCAATGAGCTGCTTCATATGTGAGGAACACCTATTCCACGTAAATGAGGCAAAGGTCTTGGTGGCGGCAGGGGGAGAGGCAATTGTGACCATACTGTAATTAAAGACTGTGTGTACGCACCAGGAAACTGAACGAAGGCTGCACAGGGCTTAGCTAACAACAACATCAAAAAGGTAGGAATCTTGTGCAAAAACATAAACTGAAAACTGACTTAGTCCGAGCTGAATTCTTTCATGTTTCCCAGTCCCGCAGCGCTGCAGAAGGTAAAGACCCCCTTGCTGCAGGCTGCTGCGGGAGCAGAGCAGCAGTGCCAGTTAGATAAACTTTCATTTAAAGGAAAAATGCTAAAGATTGGTACATCGAAACACTCGTGCGCCACACACTCAGACTTCCCATTCAAGTTACAAGGGTTCTCTAGTCAGGCAGACGAACAGTGATCTGCACGTGCAGGTAGCAATTCCTTTAGGAAATTGACAGCAATGGAAACTACTGATGAAAATAGGTGTGTGGGACACCCTAATGTAGCAATACAAATAGGGGTTTGTATGTGTACAACAAATGCACCTTTAAAACTTTCAAGTACAGCATAGCTCATAATTTTTTGATGTGCTGCCTTAACTGTCATTTTACTATAGCAAATTATAACTCCATCAGAACAGGTGAACACAATGGGCCTTGGGCTATTACTATAGTAGATACAACTGTGAAGACGAAAGTCTGAAAATAACACAACTCCCAAGGTCTTATTTCAATATCAGACTGAACAATAGCTTAGACAGCATTAGGAATACCAGCCCTGTGCACTCCTAATTACTTTTACAGTCATTAACACTCCACTTATTGTTTTAAAAGTTCATTTAAAGCAGCTAAGTGAATTCTCTCACAGAAAAAAAATGAAGATCTTTTTTTAAAAATCCCTCTCAGAGATTCCAGACTTGCTTTACTCGTCTGTTGCTAACTCAACTAAAATAAACAAAAACTACTACTAAAAACATACTGAGCACGCAGTCAAAATGAAGTAAAAAAGCAAATTGATTAATGTTTCACATCTGAAGTCATTTCCTTGCACCTGCAGCTCTCATCTAGGAAAAATACTACAAACACCACTGAAAACAAGACTAGTATTCAGAAGGTGGGCAATTATTTTAACTTTCCCTCTTTCCCATAATTCCTAAGGCTGAGAACCTTTATAATTATTTGGGCAAGGTGAAGGTACAACACAATATTTAAACTTACCACACAAGAGAGAATTTGAAATTGAATAATAAACTTTGAGTACTAATTTGGCTTCATTGCTCTTGCATTTCCAATTCCTACTGCGATTATCTACCTATAAAAGATACCTACATAAAAATACCCTTTAAGTCAAGTCATCTTACAGAGAAAGTAAACACATTTGCAGTCAGGTATAGCTTATTCTCTGTGCATTTCTTTCTGAACACCAAACTTCAGTCTTGCCACTCATTCATTAACCCACAGTTTTCTATTGTGTAGATCAGTTTCTAGGGGGGCTGGATTTAGGCTGCAATGAAATAAGGCCCCTGTGGCCCATGAGGCCCTAAGACCTTCTGGCCCATTTATACCTGATTCTCTAGCATAGCCATCTAGGAAAGCTCAAAGCATCACACTCAAGGTTAGAATATTTAGCACACATGAGCAGTATACTTTCATAGCATACTATAAAGCTTCTACATCGTACCACACAGACCTGCTTTAACATCTTGAAACGAAGGAAAGTATATATTTTTGATCTAATCTAAGCACATAACTGTGCACATATTGCACACATTCAAGTAAAAAGCAGCCTAAGAAATTTTAAATAAAAACACCTTTTTTTCTTGCTTCAATAATTAAAAAATACTGATTAAAAAATTACCAAAATGGATGTTTTCTGGGCTCAGAAGCAGCATGTAGTATTTTAGCTTGTGAGTCTAGAGTTAGTCTGCAAATTTGCATTCAGACCAAAAGGAGACATCACTAGTAGATTAGCAGTTCTACTGCAATGCTATCTTGCCACAGGGACTGATAGTATAATGTGCTAGGACTAACAGGTTGCAGTACTAACACACGGTACTGACAACTGATTTCATGTCAACTAGGAGACCTAAAAGTTGACCTTTTCCTCACAAAAATATCTGCACCTTTCTTACAACCAGATTAAAGCACTGGACTGCTTCTTGCTTTCAGCAAGTTCAGGATATCTATATTTTTCAAAAAACTTCCAGGTGTGTAATAGCGAAGCTTCATATTCATGATTTCGGGCTCCCTAGTATGGGCTGCCACAGCCACTGGTATTTTCCACACTGTGCCAAATAGGGTCTCAGTGGCATGGTACGGGAAACAACATCAATGGAAACACTAATTCCCTACTTGTACTTCCAGAGTTGCTGCAGTAGAGCTACCGCATGGTAGCTCCTTTCTGGGTAACTTGTCATCCAAACGAACCCACAGGTGTGTGGGCTATTTGTAAAATACATAGGGACAGACAGATCTTGAAGGATGAGATGCAGAACAGCCAGCACACCGAGCAAAGACTCACCGGAGCTGGGAAAGACAGGAGTGTGATAGACCCCATCTCCTCAAGATCTGCAGCCCCTTCTCTAACGCTGACCATCTGAAACCTGTCTACAATTTAAAACGCAGTCCAAAAAACAAGTCTTCAGTGAAGAAACCAACTTAAAACATTCACTAATAACACTTTTCTTCTCTCTTCTGCTACTTCTTACTCCTATGATGCTGCCATTTTCTAGTTATGCCAACTGTTTTGTTCCAGGCCTGTTTTTAACTTCAGCAGTCTAGTTCATGGACGCCCCCCTGAACAGAAGGTGTCTCCAGCACCAAAGAAGCAACAAACTGCAGTGTCAAGGATAAGATTTTATCACCAGTGACAAGGTTTCTTAGAGCATTAGGTTCAGAGTTATGTCAAATAGAGTATCACGTCCTTCACTGTTCTGTTTTGAACAAAACAATGAAGGACACAATAACTCTCTCCTTTGACACTAAAACCAATCATCAGAGAAAGGCTTGGGTGGCCGATGTAAACCTTGGTTTATATCCCAGGTGGACACTGTACCTAGTGGTTGCTTCTGAGGTATGGTTCACTCGACCTTTCCTTCTGAAGCTGCTATACTTTGTGTGAAATAACTATATATCAATTGTGCCAGGAAGAGAACGAACTAAGACTGTAGCTCAAGTGATTAATATATCTAGTTGGACTAGGATAGAGAGTAGATTCTGATTCCTAACTCAGTGTTTGCTTATTCGTTTGTTTATAAGCCAAGCCTTCCCAAATACACTAAGAAATCCTGTTCTACGAGAAATATTGTTCAAAAGTGTAACTTTTCCTGCTACTGCAGCAAAATATACTGAAATAAAGAGAAGAGATCTTAAATATCCCTTGTGGAGTAATTCTTCAATGGTGGAGAACAGAAAAATGTTTTAGAAACGTAATGAGAAAACCTATACAGCGACTACAATGAGACTGCGATAAAGGTGGGTCATAGATGGCCATAAAGGTGGCCCTGGAGTGATGGGACACTGACTTGGTGGAAAAGATGCCATCCTGCCAAAAGATGCAATTTTAAACACTGAATGAAGCAGTAAGCAGGGAGGAAGGAAATAAAGTCAGAAAGCAATGTGCACGCACTGTTACTATTTAGAGAAGTTTTCAGTTACATTCCTACTCCACATTTCTCCTCTAGTGGAAAGAAAGTTCTCTGGGCAGAGACTGACCACAACCGAAACTCAGTAAGAGAGAATAGCAGACAACTCCAGTACAGCATAGGACTTTATCTTGGAGAACATCATCACTAAAGAATACTAGATTTTCAGAGTACTGAGCTGATACTTTCAAAAAAGTTTTATCCATTGCTTACAAATTAGATACAAGCAGAGTGTCTGTTTTATGTAACAGTCTGAAGAGAAGTACTGACCCGGAAGACAGGGGATTCAGCAGTGCTGCCAAGTTGGAATTTCTGTTCTCTTTTCAAAATACAACCCAAAACAGTATTTTTTTCCCTTTTTTTTTCTTTTTTTTTTCCCAAAAGCAGAGTACCTGAGATAGGACAAGCTGCCCATGGAACTTATGGACAAATTTTCTTAATGATGAAAGGTATGAAGCCTCTCCTATTGTCCTTGCCAGAAACCTCAAAAGGAAGTAACCCTGCAAGAACAAGGAAGAAATTATGAATTAGCTGATGTCTAAAAGAAGGAAGCTTTTATAATACCAGTAAATCAATTCCATTAAAAAACTGCTCACAACACTCACCTTCAAATAGTGAACCTGCATGAAGATTTTTTCTGCTTTAAGACCATGTTTGACAACAGATGCTCCAGATTCACTCACTTCTCCAGTGTTCTCTTTGTTGGGCCTAAAATGATAGCAAACTATTTAAGGCTTGGATAAGAAAGTAAATAAATGATTCACATGTCACATTTCTACTGTCATAGTAAAGCACTGTCATAGGTATGGTATCTCTATGCACCTGCCACTCATTCTGTCTTTTTCTCCTCTCTAAGCTTAATAAGCTGGCTTAAACAAAAAGAAATAAGGAGCTGCATACTTTTAATGCAATTTTGCATACAGTTGCCCAAACAGCTGTGGTAAATCTGAGAGGCATCACTAAGTTGGTGTAAGTTGGTGTTGCTGGCTCTTTACTGCGGCATGACATTTTGTTGAATGTCATTCCCCAGTGCATAGGCACATTATGAACAAAGAGAAACAAACCAAAACAAACAAACAAAAAAACAAGACAACAGACATTTCAGGAGTAAGGGAAAGGAAAGGAAGGAGACTGAAGTCATTCTGTTTGACCAGGGCTTCCCCTTCTTACACCCAAAGAGTGGCTTAACAAAAGCCCATGTAAGCACATTTGCAAGAATAATATTTTTCATTTGCATGTAATTCACTGCAGATTGAATTAATTTCTGTTCTAAATTTTGCCATTTTAGGTTGCAAGAAAAGTGGTCGAAGCTTTGAAAGAAAGAGCCTCTTTCACACAGATGAGGGTTTAAGACAGCTCATAGTGTCTAGAAGGAAATTTAATTCTTGACCACTTCACTGCAAAGAGCAACAGAACACCTGGTTTGTCAGAAATCTACATCAGTAAAAGCTAGAGGACTTCTAGGCTCTTGCAAGCACAAAGCAAAATGAAAGGGAAGTTATGCCAATAACTTTTTCTTGGGTTAAGAAGTATTTTCAGACACAGTATTGAAGAATCTTTTAGCTTTTTATCTTCCATCCAGAAAATATCCTAGCCACCTGTCTGAGAACAGAAGCCCGTGTGATTAAAACAAGCTCCTGATTCTAAATGTGGACTTGGAAGGGCCAGTCTCAGACAACAAAGCTCTTTTTCCCCAGTTCTACCCAGCAGGGACAACATAGACCACAGTAGTGCAAGCTTCTTCAAGCCACATTACCCACATGCTACTCATGAGCTAATTCCAGTGATCATATTTCTTTTCTTCTCTATCTTGGTATGCCTTACAGAAAACATTCTTCCTTTTTTTGTGTGACTGCAGTGACTCCTTACTATAGTTTTGCCAAGAATGCTAAGCATTCTTTCTTACCCTTTAAGCACTATGTTTAGGACCTGGGCACATCAAATTCACTTGACACTTGAATCTGGATGAAAGATGACTATTTGAAATCAAACAGAAAAAAAACAAAAAGCAAAAAAACTCTCACTGAATTTTTTCAGACCCACTGTAGCAGATACACTCTATAGTGTGCTTACTTCCCAGTTGGATCAGGCTCCTACAAGTAAATCCTGTTGGAATTTCATATGCAACTTTTCACATTTAAGCAAAAAAAGACAACCAAAAACTGTTCCATGTTTCTCTCATAATAAATAGTCCACTTCCTTAGACTTTGGGAAGCAGAGTTTGGGCACGGTTATAGAAGCCATAGTAAACTGAAACATCTCCCAGAATCACAATTATTCTAAACCTTTCCCTTCCTCCACCTTCAGCTTTGTGCCAATGTGGATTCTGTGCAGCAAGTATCCCATCTGAATGACAGTACTGACTGGTTATGTGGGCTTTAAACTAGGCAAGAAGAGAGAAGAGGAGTGTCACACAGACAGGGCAATCAGTACCACACAGCCAAAGTCAGATGGCATCCAGCAGGAGTATGGTAGTGGGGACGTGAGGATAGGATATGATTATAGAGGGTCCTCTTTCACCCCTCCTGGGGAACCTGCAGGCTCTATTACTTCCCTGAAATGCCTGTACACCAATGCGTGAAGCATGGGGAATAAGCAGGAGGAACTGGAGACCTGTGTGTGGTCCCAGCGTCATGATCTCATTGGAATCACAGAGACATGGTGGGATAGCTCACACAACTGGAGCGCTGCCATGGAAGGCTGTGTGCTCTTTAGGAAGGACAGCCTGGAAGGAGAGGTGGTGGAGTTGCTCTTTATGTGAGAGAGCAACTGGAATGCAGGAGCTCAAACCTTGGGGGTGGAGGACGAGTGAGTTGAGAGCCTGTGGGTAAGGGTTAAAGGGCAGGCTAATGTGGGAGACACTGTGGTGGG